CCAGCGAATTCATTTTCATAGCTGTACAATCGCAAATATATATATGGTTGTTTTGTATGTGTGTGTGTGTGTACATTAAATTTGTCAAACGAAAATACAATTAGTAAGTTCAGATGAATTGGATGTTGATATAAGAGGGTAGTAACAAAAGTGATGAGTCATCATAAACGATTGTTAAAGAAGTCACGTAATAACATGAATAGTTTCATGAAAGAGTTGTGCTCAGGGTGCACATGGAAACAAAATAACATACGGAATTACAGAAGGGTTTTAAGTAGAAAAATAAGCATACAAACAAAAGTTAAGTCAAATCAACGGAGTTGTTATCATGATAGTAGAAGTGGTTGAATAATTTTCTCATGTATGCATAGTTCTGGTTCTTTCAACTGAATGGTTAGGGCTTCTGCAATGCAAAGAAGACGGAAACGTATTGTATTTGGCAGGTTGTTCTTCACTCTGTAGATTACTTTGAAGGAGGAGGCGTTTGTTGAGATGGAATGACCAGTGGTGACGAGATGTTCGATTATTGCACTCCAAATACGGCCACTACTTCCTTTCTACAGCCACGCTGGATAGTGTTCTTTGATAGGATGCGCGTCGAACGACCGATGTACCTGGCTGGCTCCACAGCAACAGGTGAACTGATATATACACATAGAAGTGGTCAGGTGCGAGATCTTGTCCTTTGGGCTTCTGTGGATCAGCGGGCGACTGGAGAACAGTACTCTCAATGTTGCCGCAAAGAAAGTTCTTCGTAAAGAAGTGGAAATTCTCCTCCTAAGGACATCACTGAGTAGGTCACCTTTGAAGTCGAGGTTCATATAAAGTATCTTTTTTGACACGGATGGCGTCTCTTGCTTTTGGATTTTCTGTTTGATGTTTTTGTCTCTGAATCTTGATGGATCGCCAGGCTTACATATCGCAGTGACCTAACAAGCTACACTGGCTGGAACCAATGTTCCTGCAGGTCCTACCAGGTCAGGAAGGTTGTTAGGATAGCGATTAGACTAAAAGCAGTTACCGGCTTAGTATAAGAATTTTTCTTACACTATGCTTGGGATGTGTGAGCAAAGTTGTACTGTTGGGGAACAGGGATTTAACAGCAGTAAAATGTTTTCCTAACTCAGATGACCAGCATGCCAGCCAGCTATGCTGTCTCTCCACTATGGAGAGACAGGGAGTTAGAAGGAAAGGTCGACCCCAACAATTATACATCCCGACTTACCCTACGGTGGTTCGTAGCCGGTAGTAAGTTACTAATACGGAACCAATCCAAGAAACCAGTTCATACCAGCCGTGTGTGACTATCCTCAAGTAGTTGTCTCCTAGGCTCTGCCGTCACGCAACACTAACCCTCTCTGTGTTTCAGGTACCCGAAGAATCAATCAACTTCCACGGTGTGGGGGCAGCCGGGAAGTAACAACCGCCCACACACTTCCAAAAGCACACGAAGCCTTCGTGAGCACCATTCTCCTCTACCCACATCACCTTCATTCCACTATAGAATAAATTTATTAGATAAAAGCACACAGTGATACAATATTATTTCATAATGACGTTACAAGCACGATTTATTTTTCCAAATAATATCAAGGTGCTCATTCACATTCATATAAGGAAAGACATATGAAGCCCTACATAGGATTCTTAAAGAAACAGGAATTTGGACGCCACTTGAAGCTACAAACTCTGTAGGCTAAAGGGTCCCTCTGATCTAATTAGACAAAAAATCTAGATCTGCAAAATACTCCGCGATGACTATGAGTTCAGCTACACATAGTTCAGATGAATAGATCAGGGATAAGGATTTCATCATGAGCTGACATCAGTTAGAGAACCACTGGAAAACCTGGGAGTACTGGACAGTCCCAAACTAGGACGAAACAGCTGTCCAGTACTCCCAGGTTTTCCAGTGGTTCTCTAACTGATGTCAGCTCATGATGAAATCCTCCATACAATTAAACAAAATCCCTACCAAACCAATACTTGAAGATCAGGGATAGTCAGATTGTCGAAACATGAATTCAGCTAAGTGTAGAATGACTGACCCCTATGATGACGAATATAGCTTAGAGAAGAACTCAGTAATGGTAACGCATGCATTAACATACAATTGATTGCATAACAGGGAGGAGAAGAGTTACAGTTCTGAAAAGGAATACAGGTAGGTGGAGAGAAAAAAGTTGGTCAATACATATTTCATGTATAATCCCCATCCAGGCATTAATGAAAACAAAACACTTAGATCAGCGAAGAGTCTATTTTCGGCGAATTCATTCACCAGTGTTAACACTTTAACACTGATCATACCATTTCAACAAACGCCTCCTCCTTCAAAGTAATCATTACAGAGTCAAGAATAACCTACCAAAGGCAATACGGTTTCGTCTTCTTTGTATCGCTGAAGCTCTGGCCATTCATATTAGAAAAACCGGAGCTGTGCATACAAAAGAGGATTACTCAACCACTTCTACTATATTGGTAACAACTTTTTTGATTTTTGATGACTTAATTTTGTTTATTTGCCTGTTTCGTTAATTGCTTATAATCCTGAGTAAAACTCACTCATCAAACTATTCCTATTATTACATAACTTCTTTTAACAACTGTTTGTGACAACTCATCACCTTTGTTACTACCCTAATTTCATTAACACCTAATTTTCTTGACTAATTTTGTATTACGTAACTCCAATTACTAATCTTCACCTGTTTAGTTAAAATAACTATAACCAATTGTATTTTTGTTTGACAAACTTAATGTACACATACATACAAAATAACTCATACATATATATTTGCGATTGTACAGCTAAGTGTGAATGAATTCGCCGCCGAAAAGAGACTCTTCGCTGATCTACGTGTTTTCTGTTTTCATCAATACATATTTCTCCATTGAACCTACACCCAACACATCTCAATCCACTGCCTTCATACGGCGAGGGTGGTCTTCAAAATATTAAAAAGGACAAATGAGAACATCTGGCGCTTATAACCGGACAGGTGAGCATCCACGTCTATGTACGAGAGCTAGAAAACTCTGAATCCAAACCCATGGTGTGCATTGGCTCTAGAATCCGATCAAACCGAATATTATATGAATCTGTTTTGATCAGTGCTAGTCATAGGAACGTAGCTTCTGACACTGCTCCACTGTCTTATGGATCACACTTCAAGCTAAAGGCTCAGGGGATGGCTGCTTAAGACGACCACCTGCTTCAATCTAGGCGTCAGGGCAGTATCCCAGTGACATCACACAAACTATGAGACCCTGTGCATCTCTTGGTGCCAATAATATACTGAATTTGTATTTTGATAAATAATAATAACGTGAGATAAGAATAACACAAAGCCAATACTAGAGATATAGAAGAACAATATTACTACCAATAAAATCAAAGAAATGATAAGAAATAATGGAATAATATTAAACAAAGTTTGAAAGTAGTTATGTGAGTGAGTACTTTGCTGAGATTTTGAGCGGCAATACCCAGTTGCACTCAAAACGTCTTCATCAGAAAAGCGATTCTGCAGCCCCGAAAATTCTCTCTGTCTGTCTGGATTCAACATAGAACTTGGCACCGAAGTGCAGCAGTTCCAGTTGCCACGTTCCAAATAGCACACAAAGGTAGACAAGAAAATGAGTGAAGAGAATCAATAGAGTTTTGACGAGTATAAGAGTGAAACAGAATGAGTAATGGTAGAAAGGCGTATGAAGGTTAAAGAGACTGAATACATCTGCGTAAGCCATTGACAACGATTTTGAGCCATGTCGCCTATTGTCTCCAGCCATTGATTCTTAGAGTCCCGAGGGCCCCAACCCGGAAGTCTGCATCTCCCTAACTGACCCAGTTTAACTGTCAAAAATTTCATGGATTGATGAGGCCATGTTTTTGTTTGGCCACCACTTACCCTTTTCCAACCTGCACCTATATCAACTAGTAATGCCCTTTGGGGGAGACGATAGTTAGGCATGCGCAACACGTGGCCTCAATCTATGTAACTTAATAGCCTCTTCGAGTGATTTTCCCACGAAAATTACTTTTTTTAAAATAATATACGAATTAGTATTGCAAGATGATTTTACAACATAACCTGGCTTTAGTCTTTCTCACTCTCTCTCTCTCTCTCTCCGAAGTCTGTTTCCTCTTACACCCCCCCACTCTCTCTCTGTCCCACTGTGTTCCTAGGGGAACATAGGGCTACACTGGTTCTTACCATCCTGAGGACCCCAACCTCCCTGTGTCTGGCTGGCTTAGACTAACTGTTGTGGATTTCATTGACTGATGAAGCCATGTTTTGGTTTGACCACCACTAGTTGGCTCTTTTCCAACCTGAGCCATCCTATGTCAGTTAGCTAACATTGCCCGGAGAGGAAGGCGATGGCTAGGGATGCATGCTTAGCACATGTCCTAACCATCTCAATCGATGCAGCCGCTTCACAGCTTGGTCGATTGATTTTCCCTCCTTACTTAGCACTCAACCGATGCCTAACCTCAATATTACTCACCCTATTTACGCGTACTACTTAACATAGGAGATAGAAGGCAGACACCTATGATCAAAGAAAGCTAGCCGGCCTTTTCATGTCTTCCACTTCCAATGGCCATGTGTCAAAACCAGCTGTAAAAGAGGACGGAGCGAACCGCTGAGCAGTACACACGTCCTTTCATCGATAGCCAACCGGATATCACGTCTACTAAGCCAGAGATTGCGTAAATTGGCAGGCGAATGCTAAACGTGCTGAGATTTTGTCGGGAATCAGACTATTGGGGGCTGATGTAACTTTCCAAATAAGTGAAGTGGTCGACACGCTCTACCCGGAATTGAACCCAGGTCACATGCGTAGTCGGCAACCCGTTCTGTCACTGGACCACCCATCCCTACCCCCACTATTGATTCTTATTGATTAATACCTTCAATCTAATAGTGTAGTACATTTTGACGAGATCATACTTTAAATATATACACACACAAAACAAAGTGATAAAATACACTCACTTCAGTAAGTAGATCAGAATTGCTTGATTCATCAATATAAGCGGCATGTATTGAATTATTATTATTGTTATTATTATTATTCGATCGAACATGCAATGGTACACTGGGCACAGATGAATGAATCATAGGCCCACCAGCACCGCTAACGCCACCAACACCACCACAATGCAATGGAGTACTTGTAGGAGTTGGGCCTGAAATTTTATCACTTTGAAATTGACGACAAGATAGGGTGTAATGTCGTCGAGATGGTGGCAGTGGATTATTCGACGGCAGTCCATTACTACGACGTTGTAGTCGAATGAAAACATCTTCTTCTTCTAAAACTGACTCCATAATCATATAAGTAGCCATTATATAATCATATGGACGCTATTTTGAAATGATAAAAGAAAACAAAAAAAGGAAAAATTAGAGAGAGAAAAAGAGAGTGAGTGAATCAAAGGTTTTACGAGTTAAAAAAAGTGCCTGTTTACAATTTAATTTTGTATTTCCCGTTGGACAGAAACGTCCGGTTTCTGTTGACATATTCGCTCACTGTTAGTACGAATGCTTCGGGAATATCTGAGGACTAAGTCTGTCTCTGTCTGAATACAACATAGAACTTGGCACCGAAGTGCAGCAGTTCCAGTTGCCACGTTCCAAATAGCACACAAACGTAGACAAGAAAATGAGTGAAGAGAATCAATAGAGTCTTCACAAGTATAAGAGTGAAACAGAATGAGTAATGGTAGAAAGGAATATGAAAGATTACAGAGACTGAATACATCTGCGTAAGCCATTGACAACGAGGATTTTGAGCCATGTCACCTATTGTCTCCAGCCATTGATTCTTAGAGTCTCGAGGGCGGGCCCCAACCAGTCAGGAAGTCTGCATCTCCCTACCTGACTCAGTTTAACTGTCAAGGATTTCATGGATTGATGAGGCCATGTTTTTGTTTGGCCACCACTTAATCTTTTCCAACCTGCACCTTTATCAGCTAGTAATGCCCGTCCGTCGAAGGAGGCGATGATTAGGCATGCGCACCACGTGACCTAGCCATCTCAATCTATGTAACTTTATAGCCTCTTCGATTGATTTTCCCTCTTTGCCCAACACTACCCCTAATGTCAACATTACTTAACTTGTTATGCCACCTAACGTGAGAAAGAGATCGTAGACATCTATGATCAAAAACAGTCAACCTTGTCATGTCTTCAACTCGTATTGGCCATGTTTCAGAGCCATAGAGAAGGACAGAGCGAACTGCTGAGTAGTACACACGTCCCTTGGTTGATAGTCGGATGTCACGCCTACGCCAGAGACGGCGTAAGTTAACGAAAGCAGCTCGAGCCTTTTGGATCCGTGCTGAGATTTCGTCACCAATCAATCCGTTGGTGCTGATACAACTTCTTAAATAGGTGAAGTGGTCAACATTTCCTATCACTTCACTCCCTATCACTAAGCTAGGAGTTGACGTAGTTCAGTCCTGTAGCAGCATCTTACATTTTACAGGGGCTTATCGCATGCCAAACATACGAAGACTGCTGCTCAAGGTGTTCAGAAGACTCTGCATTTTGATAACTAAGTATATTATTCTTATTATGTTCCCTTGAGTTTCGAGCGGAACACAGGGGGGGGCTTCACAGTAGTACATCTGTATTTCATCCTATTTTCTGCACTCCCACCACCCCTCTGGTTGGCACCACGATTGCTCATAAGCTTTCATGTCGTCCTCACACGATTTCCTCCAATATCATCCACGGTCGCCACCCATTCGGGTTCCACTGGAGAACCTGGTGTGCAATGTCACTCAGCGGATTTTTTCAGCATGTGTCTAACTCATCTCCACATCCTCAAGAAGAATTAACGCGTTGTTATTCACAGTGGATAGTGACTAACAGTATGGAAGTCAGGAAATACAAAATTAAATTAAACAAATTGATACCCGTTCCAAAAGAGATGGCACTCGCGGCCTTAGTGGATAACTTTTCGGTATTTGAAAAGATAAATGGTGGCTTCGAGTCTCAGCGAGAACATCACCCATCACTTAGTGGAGATTGCAGGTGTACAATCCGGCTGATGACAAGTCCCAGATAGGACGAACTGTGCATCCTGGTTTCCATTGATAGGTACTATTTTGGCTAATTTCTTTCTAAGTAAACTAGAAAATGGACCTTCGAGCAACCTTATCAGAAAATTCTCATTTTATTGCTGATATATGAATGATACCTTTATTCTTTGTGATAATGATTCGGATAGGAACACAATAATAAGTCAATTCAACGAAGTACACTCGGGTATGAAATTCACGTGCGAAGAGGAATCCCAAGACAGAATTGCCTCCCTGGATGTCCTCCTTACAAGAAAACCAGATGGTAGCATAAAGAGAAATTTGCATAGGAAAAGTACATGGACAGGACAATATACACATTTTCACAGCTTTGTTCCTCTCCAGTACAAAAGAAATTTAGTAAAGACCCTCACTAAGCCACAGAGTTAGAGCTATATGCTCAGAAGAAGTAATCGAAGATGAATTAAGCATTGTATATGATACCTTGATTGAAAATAGCTATCCCGATAAATTTATCAAGAAACACATGACCAAGAAAGCGAGAAAGGACTATTCTCCATCTGTAAATAAGAAGCCTTTACACACACGACTGCAATTCAAGGATGATGCACCTAATGAAATAATTACTAACAAGTAAAGAAAATCTGTTCAGAGAACTTTTAATGCTGGTCAACTACAAGTCATGATTTCTACACGACCAATGGTGATTCCTCGATTGAAAGATGAAGTACCTAGGCTAGACTAGCCACTTCTAATTGTGTCTACCAATTCAACTGTGTTTTTGTTGGAGCGAGTTATATTGGCCACTGCTCTAGGGACAAGATTTTCCATGCTCGTAAACATCTATCAGTATGGTTAAATAAAGGTGTAGTGAAAAAGCATCAATAGCTCCATATTAGAACACCTGTTCCAAACTGGCCACAAAGCCAGCCAGCATTGAAGAATCCGTATATCGCATACTCAAAACAGCAAAGGCTGTTGCGATTCGCCTGGAACAACCGATGCTCTGTGCGCAGAAGAAAAAAGTCCAGCCAGCCATTACTATTACTGCCCCGGCCTTCATTCATTCAGTGTATTGTTATGTTGATCTTTTCGTAATGTAATCCATTGATATTATCATTATTGATTCGATTTTATTTAAACAACATTAATGTTGTTAATAACAGGGTAATTCATTCACTAGTATTATTTTATTTTATTTTTTTATTTTGATAACAGCTTGATTCCACACCATATTTTTGGTACAAGTATGGAATTTTCAACATGTGATATCGGTAGCCCAAATTTTACAGGCCGACCATTGATATCGGGTGTGCGTCGGCAGAGGACCAAACCCCGGATCATGTCCATGGTCGGCGAGAGTCCTAACCGCTGTGCCAGCGACGCATATTCACACAGTGATACACCCATTGACTGGGTATTGGTTTTCAGGAGAACCAAACACACCCATCCCTACCTCTTGCGAGACGAGACCGGCACGCAGGATCATATATGTACGACTGTAGAACCTGATGAAGAGCAGGATATCGAAAAGAATATACAGACAAAAATTGATCACAGCTTAGTTGTTCAATCGCCAAACTCAAAGCTAAAAATATCAACTAAATAGTTTTTTCCTCTAATAAAGGTTTTTGTATTTCCCAATGAATGAACGATATTGTTTTTCATTCATTGGGAAATACAAAAACCTTTATTATAATGAATATCATATACCCAATGCCCAAATTTTTTCAAACTGTTAAAAGTGAACTTGGTTTGGATGTAGTTTTTTCCTCTATCTGCTTGTTCAACGGTAATTCCTTTACGTTTCCCGAGTGGAACAATAAGGCTATAAGCTACAGCTTTGAAGTTTCGGTAGCAGTGGTGTTCTTATTTTTACGGGATAAAGTTGCTAACCAGACTCATGCTCAACGTTCCCTCTTTACAAGTCTTATTACTGGTTCAACGAGGTAAAGGAGTGCTCTCAGTGGCATGGGATCGAACCCCGAACCATATGAGGCGTGGTTGGCGAGCATTCTACTGCTGTGCCCCACCGATACACTTCACTGGCGGTGGTGTTTTTGTTTCCGGTTCGTGGGATTGCTAGTCTTATGTCAACTTTCACTCTTTTGCAAGGGAGGTTTAGGAACGTATCTGCTTGGGGGTTGAACCATATTAACACGACTACCAGTACAAATTTTGACAATGATTCTCTTGCATGCATGTTAACTGTGAGAATAGAAGTGCAATGGCCACACACACACTACAAACAGTAATAGTACAGTGAAATTTGAAGTCATTTTTCTCAGGAATAAGGTGAAATATATCAGTTACAGGGTGATATAACACTACAAATTGAATTCTAAATTGGAACCCTATACAGACTTTTCTTTACTGCTAATAATCACAGAAAGCAAGTATGTACCTTATCGAATATGTGTGATGTATTGCCCCTTAGACATTCGACTTTCAGACAGTAGGTTCCAGGTTCAACCGCCATTTCAAATAATTCAACCTATATATATATATATATATATATATATATATATAGGCTACTTATTCAAACTGCCAAAGAAAGGAGACTTAAGTCAATGCAACAACTGGCACGGCATTATGCTCCTGTCTATCCCAAGCAAAATACTAAGTCGCATCATCCTGAAGAGAATCAAACACGTCACCCCAGATAAAAGGCTTCGACTGGAACAGCCTGAATTCAGGAGAAACAAAACATGCATCGATCAAATCGCAGCAGTACGGATCATCGTTGAACAGAGCTTGAAATGGCAGTCAGTCAGCTCCCTACCTCAACTTCATCGACTTTGAAAAGGCCTTCAGCAGACAGCATCGATCGAGTGCCACCGACAATTATACAACTCATCCAACAGCTAGCTGTACGATAATGCTGCATGCTAAGTAATCCACAACGGGAAACTCAACGAATGCTTCAAAGTGAAGACGGGAGTAAGACAAGGCTAGCTCCCTACTATTTCCAATGATTTTTCTGATTGCAGTAGACTGGATAATGAGATAGACAGCGGGCAGCGAGGAAACAGGCATAAAATGTACCGACACAAAATAAACTTGGAGGATCTGGACCTCGTTGATGATATTCTTCTAATTTCCCACAAACTGGAAGATATGCAAGTAAAAAACAACAACTTGGCAGAAGAAGCATCCAGAGAAGAAAGGAATTTAGGGGAACATAGAGAAAACAGAGGTGATGAAGATTCCTGGTCAACAGCAACAACAGACATCAGTAAGCACAAATGGGGGGAAATCCGAAAGAAGCAACCTCCTTCACCTACCTACCTACCTGAGAAGCATCGTTTCAAATACAGGCGGACAGAACTGATGAGGATATCGAAGCGAGGATCGGGAAACCAAGGCAGACAAGCTTTCATTACTCTCAAGCCTGTGTGGAGATCAATACCACTTAGCATGAAAATGAAAATAAGATCGGGATTTTCAACTCCAATGTAAAGTTTTTGGTGCTATACGGATCAGAGAGTTGGCCAGCGCTTCACGAAGGGCACTTCAAACAAACCACAGACCCTCATCAATAGCTGTCTTCGGTCAGTACTACTCAAGATCAGATGGCCGCCAGAAAAGATCAGCAACAGGGGTCTCTCCGGGCGAACCAACACAGCAAGAACCAGCTGTGAGACAAATATGCAGGAAGAAATGGAGATGGATTGACCATACTCTGAGAAAACAAACCATCAAGTGACTGACATCGCATGCCAGGCCATCACTCGAATGGAACCCGAATGGGAACTGGCGAGTTGGTTGTCAGTGCGAGAGTGACATGAACGAGATCATGCGAAGAGGAGATGAAAGCATGTGGGCAGACGTGGATCCAGGTGGAAACTCAAGCAGATAATCGAACTCAATGGAGACGCGTGTCTGAAGCCCTATGTTCCTCTAGGAATTAAAGGAAACAATAATATATATATATATATATGCGATATCGAACATAGGATCCAGAAGACTAGACAGAACTTTGTTAGTCTAAAATCAACGTGGAAATCTACTCCACCTAAGAAATAAGATTCAGATTTTCAACACACCTGCCAACCGGCTGCCTCTATACGGTTTAGAGAGCTCCCATGCGCGTTGACATGAAAAGTATTTCTTCCAAAAGGCTAATATGCAGACTTTTATCAACAGATGCCCACTTTACTTACTCAATGACAGTGAAGATCAGACGGCCAGCCGACTAGAAAGGATAAGCGCAACAAGGAACCAAAAACTTATAACGCCCAACAAATATGTAGAAGAAAACGGAGATGGATTGGATATGATAAGCTGGGGACACCTTTGAACGACACCCACCATATGCTAGACAAATTCTCGACTGCAAGCTAAATGACAAGCATGTACACCACCACCAGTTGAGTGTCAGTTGGAGTGTGACATGAAAGAGACTGTGTGTGAGGAAGGAATGAAAGCTTTTGGGCGATCGTGAAGCCAATCTGAAAGGCCTGCAGTGAACTGAGTGAAATGGAGATCTATTGCTGCAGTCCTACGTTCGTTCCACTCTGAACTCAGAAGAGCAATAATCATAATGATGACAATAATATTAAGCAGAAATGCACATGAGAAAAAAGTACGGTGACTTAATGAGTTTGGGAGTTCACATAGGGTGAATGCATCTGCGTCGATGGCACAACGGTAGAATGCTCGCCAACCACGCCTCATGTGTTTCGGGGTTCGATCCCCGACCACCGACGCACTCCTTTACCTTGCTAACCCCTATAGTAATAAGACTAGTAAAGAGGGAAGGTTGGGCATGAGGCTGGCTAGCAACTCAATCCCGTAAAAATAAAAACACCACTGATACCGAAACTTCAAGCCGCTAGCTTCAAGCCACCCTATGTTCCACTGGGAACGTAAAGGAATAAAAAAAAACATCTGCGTCACTGAGACATATTACCAACAGTTTCAAGCCATCGACTCTTGTCATTCCAGTGACGCCAACCTGACAGTTTACACCAGTTTCCCTACGTGGCTGGCTAAGACCAACTGCCAAAGACTTTATGGATTAGTGATTTGACCACACCTAAAATCTTTTCAATCTAATCCTGTGGTCAGCTAATGTTGTTCAATGAGGAAGATGGTGGTTCGGCAAGCGTAATACGTGTCCTTACCCCATCTCAATCAATATGACCTAACAACCTCATCAAGTGATATGAATTCCCCCCCGCCACCTACTACTAATAACCATATTCTTTACATGGTTTATAATTCATCAAATGAGCTGATCAAATTCCGATGTGACTGACTAACTGTGATTGGTTTCAACACAGAACTCTGAGTGACCACACTCCCTCCATTTACCATACAGAGCAAGAGAAGAGAATAAAGACAGGTTCAAAAAAGAGATAATATACATAATTATGAGTGAGGGAAAAAGAATAGTAATATGGAAGAACAATAGAATTTTATTGGATATGCATCTGGCAGACATTGACAACAAAGATTTTAAGCCACATCACCAATTGCCTTCCGCTGTTACTGCTTCTTACTATCCTGAGGACCCCAAGCAGAAACGTGACTGGCTTAGACTAACTGTTTTGGATTTCATTGACTGATGAAGCCATGTTTTGGTTTGACCACTACCACCTGAGCCATTCTATGTCAGTTAGCTAACATTGCCCAGAGAGGGAGGCGATGGCTAGGGATGCATGCGTAGCACATGTCCTAGCCATCTCAGTCGATGCTTGGTTGATTGGTTTTCCCTCCTTACTTAGCACTCAACCGATGCCTAACCTCAATATTACTCACCCTATTACGCGTACTACTTAACATTGGAGATAGAAGGCAGACACCTGTGATCAAAGAGAACTAACCGGCCTTTTCATGTCTTCCACTTTCAATGACCATGTGTCAAAACTAGCTGTAAAAGAGGACGGAGTGAACCGCTAAAGCAGTACACATGTCCTTTCATCGATGGCCAATCGGATATCACGTCTACTAAGCCAGAGATTGCGTAAATTGGCAGACGAATGCTAAACGAGCCTTCTGTGTATCCGTGCTGAGATTTCGTCAGAAATCAGACTATTGGGAGCTGATGTAACTTTCCAAATAAGTGAAGTGCTCTTTTACAACGTGATCCATCCTGTGTCAGTCAGCTGACATTAGTCGTCGAGGAAGGTGATGACTAGGCTAGGCTAGTCATGCGTAACGCATGTCCTAACCACCTCAATCAATGTAACTTTACAAATGTAGATGTATTCATAATGCTTAGTAATCAATCACGCTGAATATGCATACAAAAACAACAAGAACAACAACATAAAATTACCTTTTGTAACATTCTAGCTAGCTCCACTTTAGGAATTCGAGTATAGGCAGTTATTTCAGCAACAATCTGCATGTTCAGTGGCGACATCTATCATATTATAGAAATTAAAAAAAAAGAAAACATGAACAGTTTAACGACATATTCAGTATACGATTATATTCATTACAACACAACGTATAGACACAATAAGAACGTGAACAAGAAAAATCGACTTAGACAGATCAGTTCAATGCGGTACATCTAGCTAAGACAAATTCACATGTGAAGCAGAATCTCCCATGGGAAAACTGCCTTCTTAGATGTCCACTTCTTACAAGAAGACGAAATGGGAGTAGAAAAACTAGTGAAGTCAATAACCAACAAACTAAAAACAAAATGGATTCACAGAAAGTTTCAATACCATTTCGTTGCAGTTTATATGTTCTTACACGTCCAGTTACGATCCCTCAAGTATCCCGGGCTAGCCGACTCAACTTGAGTCTCTCATTTCAACTGATCCGGTGGAGTCAGTTACACGTTGACCATGTTGCCCTTATTTTATGTTATTATTATTGATTCGTTTACGTTTCCAGTGGAACATAGGGCGGCTCCAAGCTAGAGGCTTGAGGTTTCAGTAGCAGTGGTGTTTTTATTTTCACAGGATGAGGTTGCTAGCCTCATGCTCAACCTTCCTTCTTTACCAGCCTTATTAATGGCTTAGTGAGGTAAAGGAACGCGTCGGTGGCCTGGGATCAAACCCCGAACCACATGAGGCATGGTTGGCGAGCATTCTACCGCTGTACCACCGACACACTAGGAACTTAATTTTATTGTGCGGTCGGGAACATCTACCAGTGTATGGTTGAATAAAGGTGTAGTTGAAAAAAAAGCCATTAATAGTTCGATATTAGATCATCTGGTCCTCCAAAGAACATTGAAGAATCTTTATCTACCAATATATCTACCGATTTCCGAATACATTTTCCAAAGACCTGTCTCCAGATACAGAATACTCCATGTATAGGAAAGGAATTTGGAATTCACTCCAAACAACTGGAACTCCATTATAGGTAAATTTTCTCACAGTGTTATACAGTAATGTTTACTGATGACCAAGTTTCGAGCACAATTTATCACTGCCACCCATAATCATATCAAGGTAATCACACGACTTCCTAAATTCATTTATATAGTTCCATTGTTTTTCACTTGATTTGATTGGTAGTAATATTTTCCATATTTCGGGTATGAGTGATGAGTCATTCCTATTGCATGTGTTGGGTGTAGATTTGATGAACAAAGATTCAGTAATCAACCTCTCTCTATCTTTACCTACCTAGATTACTTTTTAGAATTTTAAACCACTCCCACCCTACTGTGTGGTTGTGTGTTAATGCATGCAGTGCAATTGCTGAGCTTTTTTCTAAATTATTCATCTTCTCGGGGTCAACCATTCTTACCTTAGCCACTAAATTCTTATGTTCTGACAGGCAATCTCGCTACCCCTGACCTACTAGTTTGACCTCTGTAGTTGACCTTACAGTCATTGCAGGGTATTTTGTAAATTATATTATTTTGTTTAATTGGGTCAACCGACAGGGTCCTTTAACCTACAGAGCTTGTCCTATCATTCTTTTGTAAAATAGAGGGAGGGAGAAAGTAAACTAAGAATGAAGGGATTACGTAACTTCTGCGGTCATCTGAACAGCTAAAAAGTAATCCACATACGGGAGATAGAGAAACTGGTGACCTTTGTACACTTATATATATTATTGATTAAACCTTTTTTTAAACAAAGTTATAAAGCTTTTATTACGTCATGTATTCACCTATACCCTTTGTGTTCTGTTTAGACAATGTTATTCTTTCATGTGAACGATACTCACCTAACTCATTTATTATTTTTTTGTTATTTTATGAAAAATATTTTCGGCGATTACGTAACCTATTCTCGATTGATAAAAACTCTTTGTCGGTTAAACTTTCTTTCTAACCAAAAAAAAAGATTTCAAACTCTGTCCTTTCTTTTCACTATGAATAATCTTGTAAATAGTTAATCCTTTCAACGCTTGATAATTTAACAACTTACACCATTCCGGACTTGTCTTATGGTCATAGTTCCTATGACTTACTTTTTATCGGTGTGAAAAAAGGTATTTTCAAACCTCCTACTTTTATGAAATTTATATATTTTTTCAATATTGTTCAGGTCGTAGACAGTTGAGAAGAATAATCAATGAAATAATAAAAAGACTGGGTTCATATTATCATCCTGCTCAACACATCTGTCGTGAAGTCAGTTTCTTTTATATGGGTCAGAAACTTGCACTGCTTACACGTCACGAAAAGGATTTCCAACAAATTACAGACTTTTATCAACAGGTGTCCCCTTCGCTGACTGGCTGGCTCCATACTGAAGTTCAGATGGCCAGCCGGCCAGTCAGAAAGAGAATTAGCAACAAGGAACTCTGGCTGGCGATGAATCAATCAAGAGTCAACTGCTGAACAAATATAAAGGAGAAAATGGAGATGGATAGAATGGGCATACGCCACTGAGGAGACTGCCGAATGACATCGCTCACAGTGCAGGCCATCGCTCGAGTGGAATCGCAATGAGAAGCGTCGAGTAGGTCGTTGGTGTGAGGGTGACATGGAGGAAATCGTGTGTCAAGGAGGAGTAGGAGAAGAAGAAAGATTACGGAGAGTCGTGGACCCAGCTGAAGAGAACAGCAGGGCATAGAATAAAGTGGAGATGTGTTGTTGAAACCCTATGTCCCACTCGGAACCTAAAGGAATAATGATAATAATACACATCTGTCGTTCTGGTTTCATTCAACTTTGAAGAATAATTGGAACCTTGATGATTGTGCATTTCTATGTCGAAAACAGACAGTCATATTCACTGTACAAAAAATACGGGTGTTAGGCAAGAAGACACGAAAGCATACTAAAAAGATATTTATGAAATTCCAAGCCAAAAGAATGATGACGGTAATGATGTCAAATAATTTCTATGGGATTAGCCAACAGCTCAAAATTCAAATATACACAATACTGTCTTCACTACCATATTGACATCAAGTCAACAACAAACATATTATTATTATGATTTTTATATGAAAACTTGTAGCATTATGTAAACTAAGACATGCCTCCTTATGAAACAATCCAACGGACAGTATATACAATGGTGAAATTATTGTAGTTATGTATTTATTATTATTAAGACACATCCTTGGTACATTATAGGCACCGAGGAGATGCGTGACACAAAGTCTCACAGTTTGTGAGGGGGCTAGGATACTGCCCGGACGCCCAAACTGGAACAGGTGGTTGTTTTAATGGGACGGACACACCGCGAGTCGTTGACGTGACGTGTGATCCACAAGGTAGTGGCAGCAGTGTCAGGAGCTGCATTCCTATGGTTTCCGGTGACTAAAATAGGTTTATATACCATTCAACTTGTCCGGATTCTGGACCCCACCTACACCATGGGTTTGGAATCAGGGTTTTCCAGCTCATCTGCTGGGTAGACTAACAAGCTGTAAGCGCCAGAGGTTCACATTCACCCTTTGACTTTGCGAGGAACACCACCGTCTGTGTGAAGGTAGTGAATGGAACTTGCTTGGCACAGACTAAGAAAGTGAGGGTAATCTTCGATTCTTTGGATAAAACGACTGCTTTTTGAAATTGTCAAACAGTAGCATCTTGAACATGCTCCATACAGCAACAAATCACTTAGGTAGCCAGGGTACACAACCATCTAACATCGCTGTAGTAGGGTTAGATACTGTTGCCGAATCTCACCACTTATCTTTATCTTTGTCATTAATGCCATTCTGGAAACAGCCCTGAAGGATACAACTCGTGGTTGTGTAGATCTTTTGTCTAGAGAAAGACTTTTCCCCTTAGGCTAGCCAAAACGCAATTAGTTGGAGATATATGTCAGCATGATGTATACTTTGGCTCCATCTAATTAGCAAAGAACTGTTGCAAGATTTGCAGGAGCCTGTACCTACACTCACTCTTGCAAACAAAGTAATCGACAAGTTCGCGCGTCTGCGTAGTTGCATGAGTGCTGGCAGATATTTAACAGGTGAAGTTTCTTATCATATGGAGGAAGTAGGAATAGCAAACGCCAACCTGCACCACCTTCGACGGCGCTGTAACACTTAGTCTGACCATCATACATAGGTGGAAGCCAAGGAAATATCTTCAGGGGGGACCAATAACATGTAGTATGTTGCATACGATAAAACTTGTGGAGTTTCTTCTGGGAAAAAAGGCCTTTACAAACTTCTGCAAAAAGTCTGGTGTAATTTTACGTCGATGTCTTCTATCCTTCATTTCTGTAGTGCCTAAGAGAAACACCACGTTTCCACAAGCTGAACAACTTTATCCTTAGACGAGTGTTGTAGTGTCAACTGCTTTTCGCCTTATCATTACCTACCTAATCTTTCTGGAATGGTAGAATCACTAAGCAAATGTACCAAGCAGTATGCCTTATAGATATATAGAAGAAGAAGAAGAGATATAGAAGTATGTCCATCAAATCAAGATAGAAGCGTTATCCTTAAGAATAAATATCAACTAGTTCTAGGAACTGTGGTAACTACTTATACACTTAGTTATGTTCACTATCTCTTTTAAATTTATTTATTCAGCTTAGCAAACGAGCACTAACTCTACCTGACTGGCTGGTTTCAAACGCAGAACTTCGCACAGATGTGCAGCAGTTCGAGTCGCCACACTTCACTTAACAAAGCAAGAGAAAAAAGTAAAGAGGTTGAAAAGGGACAATAGACAGAAATATGAGGCAAAAAGGATAGTAATATCGAAGAACCATATAGTTTTATTGGATATTATAAGTCACAAAGAGTAAACACATCTGCCCCATTGTGAATGATTTTGAGTCACCTATCACCAATCGTCTCCAGTAGTCACTGGATTTTACCGTCCCGAGGACGCTAACCAGGAAGTCTACATCTCCCTACGTTAGCCTAAACTAACTGTTGTGGATTTCATTGAGTGATGAAGCAATGTTTTGGTTTGACCACCACTAGCTGGCTCTTTTCCAACCTGAGCCATCCCTTCTCAGTTAGCTAACATTGCTCGGCGAGGAAGGCGATGGCTAGGGATGCATGTGTAGCACATGTCCTAACCATCTCAATTGATGTAACTGCTTCACAGTTAGGTCGATTGATTTTCCCTCCTTACTTAGCACTCAACCGATGCCTAACCTCAATATTACTCACCCTATTTACGCGTACTACTAAACATTGGAGATAGAAGGCAGACACCTATGATCAAAGAAAGCTAGCCGGCCTTTTCATGTCTTCCACTTCCAATGGTCATATGTCAAAACTAGCTGCAAAAGAGGACGGAGCGAAGTGCTAAGCAGTACACACGTCCTTTTATCGATAGCCAACCGGACATCACATCTACGCTTGAGATGGCGTAAGTTGGCAGGTGAATGCCAAACAAGCCTTCTGTATCCGTGCCGAAATTTCGTCAGCGATCAACCCACTGGCACTGGCTAATGCAACTCCCCAATCAAGCGAAATGGTCAACACGCGCCACCAACCACTTCACTCCTTGCCTATCTTCTAAGCTAGCTGTGAGTCAATGTAGTCCAGTCCTGTAGCATCATCTTACATTTGGCGGGAGTGAAACTGACTCTACCTGGCGTAGGGTGGTGAGTTACAACTTGTCAATACACGTCAGGGAATGAATACGATATCAAAAGATTACAGATAAAAACAACTTGATTGTGACCGGGTTTCAACATAGAACTTTGCACAGAAGTGCAGCAGTTCAAGTTCCAGTGTAGCATATAAAGGCAGAAGTAAAGCGAGGTTCAAAAGAACTAAAATGTGCAGAAATGTAAGAAAGAATAATAACATGAGGACTTAATACATGTAGAAGGTTACGAAGAGTGAATGCATCTGAGTTATATCAGCAATAATTTCTCTGGTGGTCATTGGTTCTTATCATCTCACGGAATCCAACCAGGCAGTCTACATCTCCTTACGCAGCTGACTCAAACTAACTGTCAACAACTTCATGGAATGCTGACACGTTTTTAGTTTGACCACTCTCCTACGTGACTTTCAGACTAATCCTAAGTGAGCTAACATTTCCTCAGTGAAAAAGCCAATGGCTTGACATGCGCAGCACATGGCACAATGTGCTTGTCATCGATTGACTTGCCCTCCTTACCTGACAGTACACCTGACCTCAATAGTACTCACCACATATTATACCACTTAACAGAAGGGAGTACAAAACGTAAACATCTGCGGTTAGAGACAACTAGCCATTTCATATCTCCCATTTTCAGTTATCATGTTTCACAGTCGTAAGAAACAACAACCAGCAATCGACCAACCTATACTATATGATTTCTGAATAGGTTTCTCACTAAATGACGTACAATCGAGAATATATTTCGCTTTGGTGGCACTACATGTCTGAGTGCTAATCATATACGACTTAACTATTATCATCTAAACAGTGTATGGCAATCTTAACAACTAAATATAATTGGTAGTACATTGAAGGTAAAAGATATATCATCAAGTCTATGAACCGGAAAAGTAACTATAATGATTTCATTAGTAGTGTTCAACAAGAAACGTGGAGTTGAGTAACTCTGCTTGGTTCCATTCATAGTTAGGAGAAACATTTATGTTACTACTTGATGCTTTCCCCGGGGAGAACAATGATAACAGATGGTTACAGTTTATCGAAAGTTTGGTCGTGCCGAATTCACAGCATATGGATAATGAAATACCAGGGGAAAATAGGTAACATAAATATATCCTATTCCTTGGAAATGAGACGAAATCTCAGCACGGATACAAAAGGCTCGTTTGGCTTTTGCCTGACAACTTACGTCATCTCTGGCGATTAGGTGGTATCCCACTGTCAACCAAAGGACGTGCATACTGCTTAGCAGTTCGCTCCATCCTACGTAATAGGTAGCTGTGAGACACAGCCATTGAAAGTGGAAGACATGAAAAGGTCGGCTAACTTTCTTTGATCATAGGTGCCTGCATTCTATCTACCATGTTAGGTGGCATAATAGGATGAGTAATATTGGAGTTAGACACCCATCAAGTGCCACATAAGCAGAGAAAATCCATCGACGAGCTTGTGAAGCAGCTACATCGATTGAGATGATTAGGATATGTGTCACGCATGCCCAGCCTAGTCATTGCCTTCCTCGACAGGCAATGTTGGGTGACTGACATAGGATCAGGTTGGAAAAGAGCCAGCTAGTAGTGGTCAAACCAAAACATGGCTTCACCAATCAGTCAATGAAATCCGCAACAGTTAGTTTAAGCCAACCACGTAGGAAGGTGTATATTACCTGACTAGTTAGTGTCCTCAGGGTGGCAAAAACTAATGATAGCTGGAGACAGTTGGTGATATAGTTCAAAATCGTTCTCAGTGGTTGGCGCAGATGCATTCACTTTTTTGATTCACCAGGCATATTCAATAAGACCTCAGGGTTCCTCCATATTACTACTTTTTCCTTCACAGTTTTGTTTATTGTCTCTCTTTCTTTCTTGAATCTCTGCTTACTCTCTTCTCTTGCTTTGTGTGCCACATGGAGTGAAGTGTGGCAACTGGAACTGCTGCACTTCTGTGCAAAGTTCTATGTTGAAACCAGTCAGTTATTCGGTCAACTGGTAGAGTACTAGGCCGCTAGTTTGAATCCTAATGCGATCGAGATCTTCATTCTGACGTAAATCACCACCCATTCCATTATTAACAGCATGCCAACCCAAGTGAGTCGGTGGCACGGCGATAGAATGCTCGCCGACCACGCCTCATATGGTTTGGGGGTCGATCCCCAGCCACTGACGCTCTCCTTTACCTTGATAAACCAGTAATAAGGCTGGTAAAGCCTCTGGTTTGAAGCCCTATGTTCCACTGGGAACGTAAAGGAATAAAAAAATGCCAACCCAAAGCTATATCAGATAGTGTAACAATCAATATTAGTTCGCAAACAGACTTATGCACGATAAAAAAAACAATAAACAACTCATAAACTTGCACAACTTACCGGGATTTTCTCTTCATCTAAATCCACAGGATGACCCATAAAACCTTCAACGACCCATGGATGACGTCGAAGGTCGTCCATTTTTATACGCTTTTTCGGGTCGACACATATCATTTGATTAAGGAGATGTCGACTAGTTTTGCTTAGACCATCAGGAACTGCAAATAAACCTTTCTATCTCCAAATGTTAGAGAGAAATTCTGTGTAACTTACACCAACTGTTTGTTGAAGTTCTTCGGGTTTGGTAGGGTCAAATGGTAGGCGACCACATAGCAGTGCATACAGAATTACACCCATTGACCAAATATCAGCCTGAGAATGCAAAAAAATTCAAAATATCTATCTATTAACTTGAGTTAGAATAAATTAACACAAACAGACAATACAAATAGGTTACTTAGGAAAATGTGTTTAATTTCTGGTAGTAATATTCGCGTTCCTTTGATGAAAACCACTTCTTATGATTTTCTAGATCATGTTGCGAGTGAAATCGAAGGGGAATAATCATTTCTATGAAGAAGCAATTCAGCTCAATGAGCACTAAAGACACAATTCAGCTTACGAAAAGTAGGACGTGGCCATTGAGAAAGGAAGGTCAACCAATCAGGTTACGAAGTTACATCGATTGAAATGGTTAAGACATGTGTTGCACATGGTAAGTCACCACCTTTCTGGACGAGCAATATTAGCTGATATAGCATTATGTTGGAAAAAAGTTCAACGCCACCAAACCAAAACACGCCGCCAATTCATGAAGCCTTTTCCTGTTGGTTTCAGTTATGTAGAAAAGTGAAGAATCCCTTGAAGAGTTAAGAATCAATGACTTAAGTCTTTTGCTGGTAAGGCCTTAAAGTGAACTATTATCGTTGATGTATAAGGAACAATGTCTCATTTGAACTTGTGCACTCGTTCACAGGTTGTTTTCGCCACTGTTTTCAGTATCCGTTCGTACTGATATACATACATGAAAAACTTAGCTTATCAAAGGATTAACATTGTTTAGACAGGATCTCAATGAGTACGTCTGCTATTTCGATGCACCAACTACTGAAAGTGTCAAAGAAATCTCAACAGAATTACTTCAAATTTTGCCAAATTACACAGTCAACGGTATTGAGGTGATAAACAAACATTTGGAAAATAAACATATCTCAAGAATTCGCGAAATAAAATTATCAGGGTTTCATAATTCTAATCAATTCCTAGTGTAATACCATTCACGTTTGGTATTAGCCTTTACTGAGACATCGTTGAAGTTTCAAGTAATAAGTTCTCACTAGCTATAATCCAAACTAAACCAAAGGATATGACTCCTATGCACATGATCCTACACACAATCGTAATCATTCAAAGCTATCCAGAATGTTAATGTGAATGAACTTGGGGTTATTATTTGTTGGGTTAGGCGTTGAATTCCCAACCAGTGGATCTGTTTCGAACCATATATCACAAGTAAATGTTCGGGCATGCAGCCAAGTAGCACCACTAAACCCTCACACAAAATGTGGTTCATTGCCAAAAGAATGCAAATGCATATGGTTATTAAGTTATCTCTAACTGAAAACAGACATGCAAAATAGGGTATGTTATGACTTCAGAAATCATACAATTCTGAACAATTAGAACTGCTCCCCACTGGTATTAATGGACTTTATTCAATCTGGAATACTGTTTTACAGTGGCTAGACGAAATTGTACATACCGAAAGGTTCACTGGGACAACTGATACCTAGCGTAGAGTGGAAAACGATAGTGAGAAGAAACACCTGTATGAAACTCATAGATGTCCGACTTTTTATAGTTGGTGTCCATATACTTCACAGGATAAACAGATCAAACTAACTTGACAGGGAAACTACATGAAATTTCCGAAGTCAGTTCAAATACTCTTGATTTATACTTTTGCATGAAGACCTGTTAGTTCATCGGTGATTCAATGGTAGAATTTTCGTCAACCACGGAAGTTCACGTTCAATTTCAGGCTGACATTTCCTGCTTAGCCAATAGTACACCAGATGAAGATGGAAGGTTGGGCGTACAACCAGCAACCTTACTCCATAAAAACAACACAACCACTATGGAAAACTCAAAACACAAGCATGAAATCCTGTTCCACTAGAAATGCATGGGAATGAGAAAAATAAACGAAAGTCTATGAGCGAATTTAAGGTCTTGCGAAATTTTCCGTTCCGCTACATACTCCAGTGTATGGTCAAATGTTGTTATATACTATTAGGCTCCCTACAACTAGTTCATAATCAATATAGTAAAAGGAAAACTCTAAAGTTAGAACCTGACCATAGACTACACTGACACATTGAAATAATGGGCTACCAGTGAACACCAACCCCCTGACGAAATCAGAAGTCCTGAAGGCAATCAAGATGCTAAAAGCTGGAAAAGCAGCAGGACCAGATGGAATCCCAGCAGAAGCATTGAAAACGGACCCAGAGACAACAGCGGACTTGATGACGCCACTACTGGAGAAGGTGTGGAAAGAAGGCAAAGTACCCGAGGATTGGAAGAAAGGATACTCATTCAAACTACCAAAGAAAGGAGACTTAAGTCAATGCAAGAACTGGCGCGGAATTATGCTCCTGTCCATCCCAAGCAAAATACTAAGCCGCATCATCCTGGAGAGAATCAAACACGCTACCCTGGACGAAAAACTTCGACCGGAACAGGTTGGATTCAGGAGAAACAAGTCATGCATTGATCAGATCGCCACATTACGATCATCATTGAACAAAGCTTGGAGTGGCAGTCACCTCTCTATCTCAACTTCATCGACTTTGAAAAGGCCTTTGACAGCGTTGATCGAGAGGTGATTTGGCAACTACTTCGCTACTATGGGGTGCCACCGACAATTATACATCTCATCCAACAGCTATACGACAATGCTGCATGCCAAGTAATCCACAATGGGAAACTTACGGAACCCTTCGAGGTGAGGACAGGAGTAAGACAAGGCTGCCTACTATCGCCAATGATTTTCTTAATTGCAGTAGACTGGATAATGCGACAAACAGTGGGCAATGAGGAAACAGGCATAAAATAGACTCACACAAAGAACTTGGAGGATCTGGACTTCGCCGATGATATATGTCTGATTTCCCACAAACTGGAAGATATGCAAGCGAAAAGCAACAAGTTGGCAGAAAAAGCATCAAAGATAGGACTTCATGTGAACATAGAGAAAACAGAGGTGATGAAGATTCCTGGGCAACACCACCACCACCACCAACAACAACAGACAACAATCAGCATAAATGGGAGAAAGCTGAAAGAAGCAACCTCCTTCACCCACCTACCCTGGAAGCATCGTTTCAACTACAGGTGGATGGAACTGACGAGGATATAAAAGTACGGATCGCGAAGGCAAGACAAGCTTTCATTACTCTCAAGTCTGTGTGGAGTTCAACAGCACTCAGCATCAAAAATAAGATCCGGATTTTCAACTCCAATGTGAAGTCAGTGCTACTATACGGATCAGAGACTTGGCGCGTCATAAAGAGCATTTCCAACAAACTACAGACCTTCATTAACAGTTGTCTTCGCTCAATACTCAAGATCAGATGGCCAGAAAAGATCAGCCACAGAGAGGGATCTCTGGGAGCGAACCAACCAGGAACCAATTGTGAAAAAATAGGCAGGAAGAAATGGAGATGGATGGAGATGGCCATACTCTTAGGAAACCATCAAGTGACATCACTAGACAAGCCCTTGAGTGGAACCTGAAAGGGAAGTGGCGAGTTGGTCGTCCAAAGGTGACTTGGAGGAGGTCATGTGAAGAGGAGATGAAAACGTGTGGGCAGACTTGGAGCCAGGTGAAGACTCTAGCAGAGAACAGAACGCAATGGAGACGCGTTGCTGAAGCCCTATGTTCCTGTAGGAATTAAAGGATACTATAATATAATAATAATTCCTAACCAGTTGGTTAGAAGCACATACAAAGACAATATTACACTTACAGCACTCCCAGAATACTCCTTGTTCGCCAGCACCTCTGGTGCAACGTATGCGAAAGAGCCACAGAAAGTATTCAACATTGACAGATTATTACCCTGGAAATTGTTAAGATAATAGCTACTTACTTTAGCACAAAGACCGAAATCGATTATCCTTACATTCTGATCATTGTCTAGCAATATATTTTCCTAAAACATTTAGTAAATCAGATGAGATTTACCGGCTTCAGATCACGATGAGCGAAACCTTTAGTATGTATATATCCAATAGCTGAGACGATCTGTCGAAATATGACCCGAGCTTCGACCTCAGACAAATGTTCCTTCTGTAGGATGTAATCGAACAGCTCTCCACCTGGAAGATACTACCAAAAGTTTGATATTCAACTAGCTATACCTCCAGGACCAAGTAGAAGTGTGTTTGTGTCTCTACAACTTGATAGAGTTTATAAATATATTTGTGGTTCAATTGTTTAAGAGCTTCTATTTCACATCGTACACGATATGCATCGGGCTACAATAACAATTAGTTTTTTATCAATACGAATACCCCAAGCTTTCTTTTGTCTAGTATTTTAATCGCGACTTTCTGACGTGTTACTGCATGTATTGCTATGTAAAGAACGCCAAACGACCCTTCAGCAAGAGGTTCACAGAAAAGATACAATCCTTGAAGTGCTTTCGGAGCTACGAGTGCCATCTTAGGGGAAAGTTGCTGAGCGGTAACAACAACGTGCAGACAGTCGAAAATTAAGAAACCCGCCTCACCAACAACGTCCTAGACTCGATGCTAACTAACGAAGTAAATATCCAGAATTCTCAGTCTCACTGCACCAAATATTTCCGTAGATTAGGTTTGTCGGAGTGTAAAAATTGGCAAGGTCGTCTGTAGTTGTTGTCTATTCTGTACTGTTGCCGAAAATTCTCATATTGTTTTTCTAAGACGACCCACTCTGTAGAGAGTACTCAGTTTAATGTTTATCAAGTAAGTTTAACACTTAAAGATACTTTCATTTTTTCCTGTTGGTATTGATGACCTTGTTCAGCCCAACTTGGATAGTATCTCTGGCTCCTTTTACTACTCATGTGTACAAAATATTATGGTGGCTGGCAGTCCTCTGTCAGATATGAATGTGCAGAAATATTTGTTCAGGTAATTTTCAAACGCTTCATGTTATGATACAGATTTATTTATACTCTCATATGTGTGCTTGAGAAGTAGTCTTGTATTGGCATTCTTGATTTTATGTAATGATTTGGTTATTAATTTATCACACATGTTTCCCCACCCCCCCCCCACATGTTAGTATATCACTTTGAATTTCTAAAACCCGGTCGAAAAGTCTTCGTATGAAAGTTCCTGTTTCCATCGAAATGCAAAGCACTAGAATTTTTCACTGTTTTAAATTGTATCAGCACCTCGATTTGATTCATTCAGAGCATGGCTGAGCATCCACTTTGCGACAAATTATGAGGAATAATATAAGTCAAAGGTTTCTTATCCGTAATAACCCTCAAAAAATTCAGGTAGATCTCCAAAGACTGTAGAAGAACTGTTCACGCACATTTCAAAACTACATTAAACTGTGGGAAACAGCCGCTCCTATCGCTGAATTTTGAAAATGTTCATCAACATTTGCTTCTATTTAGTGTTACTGATAAGACGAACAGTTTTGCTGTTTACACAATTCCGATTTCCAATGTCTAATATATTCATGAAGAGCCTAAATAAAACTTTTGATTTAGATATGATGGACAAGACTTGTACCTTAGAGAACACAAAACATTTGATTTCTTGGCCCATGGTCTTACGTGTCCTAGATGGATTCTAGGTTTTGGTGGATTCCTTGCCGACTACTGCTGCTCCACAGAAAGCTATAGGTGGAGGAGGTTTAATTTATTTTGAAGAAAATATGTGGTTTACATAGTGATAGCGCAAACGTTGGGAGTTTCGAATATCTTATCCTCATTTCTATGGGTCGGAAATACTCTAGAAAACACTGCACTAGGACAGAGAGGAGAAAAAGGGCGAATAGAGACCTCAGAGGCAGGCAAGTTTAGGAACAACTTATGAAATAGAATGCTGTATCCGTAGCATGCTCATCAATTTATTCTAGATGTCAGTAGATCAGTAGCACAGGAATGATCACTTTCGAACCCTTGTTGGGCCATTTTTTAGTGTGTGCCATGGACAAGATTTATAAGTTCCAGGAAGCTGCCAAAATTGAACTCACTACTTCAGGTTAAAATAATAATAGTTTATATTTCGTATAAACGGGTAAGTTTACAAGAAATACATGCCATTTTTACAGCCACTATCTGTAATCGTTAATCGCTGCAGAGGTAGAAGTGTTTGTTCCTCAAATCTAGATCTAGTTTGCACTGCAGAAACGAAACAATGGCATCGGGCAACTTTTCGTCTCATGGTTTAACCTCCCCACCCACCCAAACCGGTCTACTGCCCCCTGACCTAGCCAAAATTTAATGTAGTTGAAAACGTATAAATACGATTTGTTTTTCCTAATAAAATCTTCAACTTCCGAATCTCCTATCTTCTGCTGTTACAACGCAATGGATGCTACATTCCTTCATACCGCCCCTAAAGCTATCATCCAGCAGGCTATCGGTCAGACTATTTTGATTTTGGAGTCATATGGATGTAGCATTTAAGGCTCAATCGATTCCCTCCTCCGCGTTTTTTTAAAATCTAAGATTCGTGAGAGCTCTTTCACTTCGTTGGTGGCTGTTGCCTGTTTCACAAATAATGAAACTACCAACTGGGTGTAATGCATGGGGCTTCAATGCAATATCTGAGAAGTAATGATCTGACTTCGTCAAACGTTAGAGATACTGTTGGATAAAGCTTTGCTCTTCTCATGGAAACCATGTTGGGATCTATTTGCATATGTGTTCACGTGTACTGAAACTTGCCTTTTGCTCATCCTTCCCACCTTAATTTGTACAATGTCATCCAGTTTTAGCTGATTTCGTTGTTTTTGACATTGGATGATAACCATTTTTAAAGAGAATGATGGCTGTAAACACAAATTGAGACCAGCGGACCTGATTTCCGTTGTTTTTTCCCTGGACCTCTGATGGCACTCTAGGAAACCGACTAGTTAGGCTGCCTACACATATTTGGGATCACTTCCAGTTGGCCTCAACTAGAAATAACGCTCATGACCGCTGTGTGGCTGTCAATCCCGGTAGATATTAGCTCTGGCTACACTACTTGCTGACCTGCCTACCTAACCTGGTGTCGAAGCTGACTTACCTGTCTCCGCCCTTAGCGAACTGACAGTATCCAGAACGCGTTTAAATCTGCATTGATGAACGAATCGTTCTTTGATGGTGCAACGGTTGAGGTTCAGTTAAGTTGACCAATTCCCTTGATCACCTACAGTACTATTAGAAAATATGACTGTTACCCTCACCACTGAGTTGTCTCAGGCAGCGATATCATGTTTATTATGAACGTTATATCTAGAGGTAATCCAAGAAGTACTAAAATTATACATTACATGCTATTTTCTGGAGCAGTTTAGTCTTTTGACTTGTTTTTTTCTTTCAAGTGACAAGCTCGTGTCTTCCTTGTAAGTAATCCGTACAGTGGCTTTAGCGAAAGAAGGGAAATTTACAGGTAGATAGTTCCCACTGAAGCTGGCTTTCACCGTTGCTTTTGGAGTTTGATCGTGGTGAGAAACGAGGTTGCGCTACTCTGCTACCACTCTGATTTGAGTTGCTCTCATGGTTGTTCTTTGATGTTGTTGTAAGTTAATAAATTTGCACTCCAAACATCCGATTTTACTGTTCACTTAGTGTTTAGTTTTATGATGTGCTTCGAGTATGTCCCAAAGTTTCCAATAATCCATAACTTTGGGAGATAGAGTTGTTGAGGCAGCCTACGGATGTGAGCTTCCTTGAATCCACACAGCTCTGGTTTTACAAAGAGCCACTAACACTGTGACAGGTACTTGCCACTGCCTTAATTGTTTTTCAGTTTAGAGATGTCATGTATATCTGCAGTCGTTGGACCAACCTGATCTTGAGCACAGCGCTATGTCTCTCACACAACCCACAATCTATCACAGCACACTGTAAAGTTGGCTGATAGGTTGATCAGCCGTGTTTGCGACAACAGTGAACCCTGGTTCATCTCATCAGTCGAGTGTAAAGTGATGCCATTTCATTCGCTCGAATTGGTGATACCTTTGTTGCTGCAGCCAGTATATTTCGTGGAGCTTGCTGGACACTTACACCGAGTCCCCGTACAGGCTTAGGATGAGTGACTTTATCCCATGTGGAGTGCGTCCACTCTCCATGAATGGTGCACATGAAAGCTGTCCGTTTTGAAGACCGCTAATTTGTCTACACGCTGCTTTTCCTTCTTCTCTTAATTCACTTACTTTCCACACTCACTTCAGCCTGACGCTACCAATGAATCATTACATTTGCTTCCAAGTGGATTACAGAATCGTTTAATACTTTCTAAGACACCTGCCGCAGCAGTTTTGTGACTCATCATAAATCAAAATGAGCGCAAAATTATCGACCTGTATGGCGCAAAGTGACAGAAGATATCAGTCGGTTTTGGACGTACCGATGGTGGGCAAGTGAGGCAGAAGAAACCTACTCAAACACACAGAAGAGCATTCACCATTCAATACAGAAGAAGGACTTTACAAATCGTAAAAATATATACTTCGTTCTTGTCTGCTTGTCTCGCCCTTATGTCTCCCTTAATCATCGGCCGCCTCTGAATGATATTAGTGTTGTATATGCCCTACAGCAGTCCATGTAGTAAGAACGGTGGGATGGAGTTCTGGGATGAATACTATATGGAGTGCTGTAGTGCGCTACCCATTTGGAGTCTCTGACTCTGAAGAATCTTTACTAAAGCTATGTGCAACTGCCCCATTGGCCACTAAGATGTTGAGACTAGGTATTTTCATACAGACACACTCGATATTTATTTTCAGTGTTCATCTCAGCATACAAATGGTTAGAAAAAGAGAAGGACAAATTAACAGCAATGATGTCGTAGAACTCTCATATAAAGTTTTCAGGTTGCCGGTGCTGTA